AGGTGCTCGCTCGTGTGTGCGACGCACCACTAAGGCATGAACGGGAGAAGCTCCCATCCGCCTCCTGTGTGGCCGGGCTGGCACACAGGTGTCCTTGCTCAGCATTACTCCTGGCCCGAGGGGGATTAGTCAGGCTCATCGCCCGAATAAACCTCGTGATTCCTTCTCCCCAGGTCTCCTGCCCTGCAGACTCATGCATCAACTGCTTGTCATCTTTTTCCTGCCACGTGACTGAAAAAAGGCCGGGTGGAGGTGGCTGCGTGGGTGTGGGGTGGTGGCCATGCCTCCTAACACACTCTGCTTGGGCTCTGCAGGACATCGTGACAGAGAGCAACCAGTTTGACTTGGTAGGCTTCATCCCACTGCTGCGCGAGAGGATTTACTCCAACAACCAGTATGCCCGCCAGTTCATCATATCCTGGGTAGGTACGCACGGCACCACGCGTGCCTGCCAGTCCGCGCTCCAAAATACCGCGACCCATCAGCATCCCGTGGCTGGGCCAAAAAGCGTGAACTCGGGCACCTGAATTTGCTTGGGCGGGTTTTTGAAGCCAGCGGGGTTTTTCACCTGCTTCTTTAAAATGCCAGCGCCGTCGCCTCACTGTCGCGGGGGTGTCGTGCTGTACTTCTGCCAACCTGCTTCAGGATGTTGTGCACCAAGTTCGAAAATACGGTCAAAGTGTTGCTTGCATCAGTAGATATACTGTGGTCTAGAGGGTACAGTCTCCCAAGGGACAGTGCCAGACCGCTTTCCATCACCCGGCAGTGATGGGGGGATGTTGCTCTCCAGGAGGCAAGGTATCTCTACTTGCTTTCTCCTTTCTGTGGAAGGCAGGAGCTCCCAGTGCCCAGCTCAGGTCTGGGGAGAGATGCGTGCCGCTGCGCGCTCTCGCTCTCTTTCAGCTGTACTGTTTGCTGTCCCAGGTCCACCTGCGCGCATCTTGGCACTTGTTCCCGATCCCTGCTCTGCTTTACAGAGCTGTGATTGGAAACGTAGCAATGCTGCAGGCTGATGGTTTGCTTCCTGTGCTAGTCCAGCTTCTTTTGGATATGGGCGACTCCACACTGTCCTCTTCTCCTTCCCCCCGCATCCCACACAGGTCAGCTCTGAATTCCTCACCATCATGCCAGATTTGTGCTGGTGATGTTAGTTAGCTTCTTCGAAAGTCACTTCTTTCACATTCCTCCCCTGAGCTAGATCCTGGTCTTGGAGTCGGTGCCTGACATCAACCTCTTGGATTACCTGCCAGAAATCCTGGATGGGCTTTTCCAGATCCTGGGAGACAACAGCAAGGAGATACGGAAAATGTGAGTGTGGAGGCTGGGCAGGCGCGAGGGCTGCGTCTCGCTCACTGTCTGTCCCTCGCGCTCTTCGTTTGTTTGCAGCTCTTGTGTATAACTGCAGCGAAACCCCGTGTGTGTGGTGGAAGACGGAGCAACCTAGCTGGCTCAGCTGGTGGATCACGGTGTCCTTGGCAAAGGTCTCCCCCAGTTTGTTGTGGCTGGAGAGGCTGTGGAGGACACCGTGGTCTGTGCTGGGGGAGTAGCTGTTTTGGCTCGGTTGAGCTGGTGCCTTCCCAGCCCTTGCGGCCAGTATCGGAGCCGCAGAGGCTCGTGGGCGCTTCTAGGGCGGGGTGTGAGCTCCGTGAACAAGCTTGCAGCGTGTGAGCCTCTCTCGGCAAGGTGCAGAGCACCAACCCCGCATCTCCCCGGTGGAGAAGAGAAGCAGGCGTTGTGAGCTTGCTCCTCAGATCCATTGCTGGTCTCAAGACAGAGGCATTCTGAAGCACAGGAGTGGCTGGGTGTTCTCAGGGACGTCAGAGGATCTCGGCTTCTTGCGCTGGGAGAGAGTAACTGGACCCGTTTTTGTAGGGCACAAGGAAGTGGTGGGATTGGCCTGGGTCTGTCCCACTGCCAAGCCCTGCTGGATCCTTCCAGCCTCTTCGTTTCCCAGGGTCCACATGTTGAGGAATAAGCACTGAAAGGTTTGGGGATCACCTGGTCCCCTTTGTGCTCCCCATCCCAGGCACACCTCGATCTCAACAGAGCCCGTGTGGCCACCAGCATCCTTTCTGTGTACGCGTGTAGGAGGCCAGTCTCCGTAACTTCTCCGAAACTCCATCATCCGAGGCAATGGAGCACTGACTGGCTGCTCTACCTCTCTGCAGGTGCGAGGTGGCTCTCGGGGAGTTCCTCAAGGAGATCAAGAAGAATCCCTCCAGCGTCAAGTTTGCAGAAATGGCAAATATCCTGGTGATCCACTGCCAGGCAGCGGGTGAGTGCATAGGACTGAGCGGTAGCGTCCACCTCCGGGTTTGCGGTGCTGCCCAGAGGTTCAGGTCAGGAGTTTTCCCATGGGCTGTTCACCAGCTCACCTGCTTGTGCTTTCTTTGCTGTCCTGCATGCAAACCCCACTGAAAGGCAGGGACAGGCAGCTCTCCCGTGGTTGGTACCTTGTAGTGCTGATCCTGCCACCTCAGATTCAGGTCTGACATCCTCCCGAAGCCAGAGGTGCCTGAAAGTAAAATATCTGGCTGTGGAGGGCCCCTGTGGATATCTAGATATCTTCTAGATATCAGCACGTCTAGAAGAGTCCCCTTAAGGGCTTATTTTAACTGCCAGTGGCACTAGGTGTGTCGGCAGGACAGTTAAACATGATGTTTGTGTTAGTGCTGCACTGTAGCTCCTGTGGGTCAGCCTTGTTGGCAGCGGCGGAGGGTTACAGCTGCGGTGGGATGTGTTTCCCGAGAGGGATCTTGTCCCTGAGCTGTGTTTGCCAAACTTAAACTGCTCCTTAAACATTGCTGAATGGAGTGGGTTTCTTGTGAGAGAGAAAAATAGGAACAGAGCAAGACTGCTTGCTCTTGGTTAAACTGATGCCCAATGAATCCATGCTGCTTAAGCTGAAAATCTGGCCTTGCAGCAGTGCTCGCTTAATAAAACCCCAGCTCTAAGAGTGATGCTTGACCCAGACACGCAAATGCTATTGATGCGACAGAGGAAATATTCTTATGTATTGGGAAGCTTGACGGAATACTTGTAACTGAGAAAACCTGGATTATGGGTTGAACTGGGTTAACTCTGAAACGTAATGATTGTGTTTAATCTCAACCTTACTGCAGATTCAAGTCTTATCTATCTTCCCTGGGACTCAGTTGTCCCAGACTAGGGTCTCTCTGGATGGAGCAGAGGCAGCTCTCTGCTTGCAGGGGGTCCTTGGCCTGTGGGGTTTGCTCAGCTGCCAGTGCTGTCCTTTCCTTCACCTGTGCTTGTCCCATGTCTTCCAGATGACCTGATCCAGCTGACAGCCATGTGCTGGATGAGGGAGTTCATCCAGCTGGCAGGCCGGGTGATGCTGCCTTACTCCTCAGGGATCCTGACGGCTGTCCTGCCATGTCTCTCCTACGATGACCGCAAGAAGAGTATCCTTGTAACTCGGAGCTGCTCCCGTTCCTGCTATGGCAACCCCCAGGGAAGTGCCTGTTTCCTGCCCCTGGGGCGCGGGGCTGGAGGAGGCCAGGAGAAGTCCTCCCACCAAGTGCTAAAACCTGCGCCGGCCCTTCAGACGTCACGGGGGTTGCAGTAGCTGGGCTAGGGCAGCCCTGGGGGGGCTGCAGCGGCTTCTCTGTGGCTGGCCAGATGTGGCAGCTAGCCACACGTGGGACTGCGTGTTCCTTACACTGCCTCTGCTCAGACATCAAGGAGGTGGCCAACGTGTGCAACCAGAGCCTGATGAAGCTGGTCATCCCAGAGGATGATGAAATGGATGAGACCAGGCAGTCGATGACCCTCCTGGCAGAACCCACCTTGGAGGAGTCCCTCTCCAAGCCAGAGGCAGCGTCCAGCGGTGAGTCCCTGTTGACCTGAGCCATCAGAGGCGTGAGGAAGGTCACGTAGAGGTCCCCAAGAGAAGTTCTTGAGTTGGTTTGGTGTCCTGGGGCAGCTCCGGGGCACGTGGGACCTCTGTGCTTTCCCTGAGCCTTGGAGTCCTGCATCGCAGATGATCCTCTGCTGAGACAGCCGCGTTTGCTGTCTGCGCAGCCGGGGCACTGCTCCGGCCTGGAGCCCAAGCGGTGCTTTCCCTGGTGAGCACCCCCTCCTCACGCTCCGCTTCAGCTTCGTCATTAAGTTGACCTGACAAAGATGATTTGTAGTTAAATGTTTCATGTCTCTACCTAACACGGGAAGAGAGTGGCCCGCCGGTCCTGCGGTGGTTTCGGAGGAGCTACCATCACCCAAAGGGGAGCTCAGAGAGCTGTGTTAGTCCTGGCAGAGCATCAACCTGTGCCTGGACGGTGACTGTGTCGAGGAGGGGTAGAGACCAGAAAGGAGAAGAATTTTTGGTCCTTTCTGAATTCTGGTGCTCTTGAAACTGTCATGCAGGTATTGTCCCAGTCCTAAAATTTCCAGAACACAAGAGGCAAAGTTTGCAAGCGTGATGGGAAAAAAAGAGCGTTCGAGTGAGAAGAACCTAAATGGAGATGGTCCCGGTGGACCGATGCCTGAAAACAGCAGCGGCTTTAGCCTTCCAGCATCCCTTTGGTGCTCTTGTCAGGGATGACTAGGTGCTGCTTCTGGCACGCCTCTGCTGGCCAGGCATGTGAAATGTGACGTTTAAATCACGGGGGCTAATCCGTTTTAGCCTTCTGGGGCCACATGTCGAGCCCGGCGCCCTTCCGTAAGGCGCAAAACAAGCGGCTTTTGGAAAACGCCGCCGCGAGAGAGAGCGGGAAGGTGGGAGTTAAGAGGCTGAAGGGTTTTCTTGCACAAGGGCGAGGAGGCAGGGAGCTGCGTGGGGCAGCCGTGGGTGTCGGCGTGTGCGGGGCAGGCAGGAGCAGGCAGCCGGGGCGTGCAGGCAGCACACCAGGCAGCATTGGTGGTTCAGTGGTAGAATTCTCGCCTGCCACGCGGGAGGCCCGGGTTCGATTCCCGGCCAATGCAGCAGCTTTTTTTGGAAGGGATGGGGGAGAAAAATTTCATGGCATAGCACACCAACAAAAAGTTTTCTTTTTTTTATTCCTTATTTGTCCCGAGAATACCTCTTCCTATTAAAATCTATCACAGAAGAGCTTTAAAACATCAACGGAAAGTTCAGCTGCTTTAATCTCTACCCCTTTTGGGTCAGACTGCGCCTCGAAGCAGGCAGGATCAGGTCAGCCTGCGATGCTTTTGCGTCGCCAACTCTCAGCCCTGCTCCCTGGTTGTGCTGATGTGGCGGTGCTGCTGCGTGTGTGAGTAGAGGCTGTTGGCACAAGGGGGCAGGAAGAGTCAAGCTCGTCCTTCGCGCTTCGTCACCGTGCTCGTAAGACCCAGTTTTAGCATGGAGCAGAGGTGGAAAAGCTGTTTTAGGTTGCTTGGCTTCCACGTGGAGTCAGCACTGCGGGAAAGCCAGTCAGATGCAGATGTCCTGGGGTGGATTCAGCCTTTCCTGTGCTTGCGTGCTAGCTCTAGGCGTTAAAATCTGGATGATGGAGGGCAGCTCTGCCATTCTGAGCTCCTTCTTGGAGAATGGTTCAAACCATCAGAAGGATGTGTGTGGGTCTCCATTACAGAGGAGGAGACCTGGTTTGGGGCAGAGCTCTGAAGCTGTGCAGCCTGCATTTTGCTGGGTAAGTGCAGTCCTGTACCAGCTTCGTCCAGTACCTCTGGCAATGGTGAAGAGCTTGACAAGGAGCGTAAAATGCTCACTGCAGGCAGAAGTGATTCTCGGGGTCCGTGGACCCTCAAACAGTGGCTAGTGATGCCTTTGCAGGAGGTCATGCAGCGCTCCACCCTCCCAGTCCTGCTCTCCACCTTCCCTGCCATCCCACTGACACTCTCCCCTGTTTATCTGTCCCCAGGCTCTCTGGACGCGTCCAGTGACTCCAACTTCAGCAATAGCAGCGTCTTCACAGTAGCCAGGTAGGGTCTGTTTGTTGCTTCAGAGAGGCTTGAGAAGAAGGGAAGGCTTCTCAGGGTACAGACGATGACTGACAGATGCCAACAAAGCTGTGGGGAAGGGTGGTCTGGGCTGGAAAGCAGTTGGGGTCTCCTCGGTCACAGTGGGATGGATGACTGGGGATGCTCTAGGAGTTGACTGCTGCTCTCCTTATGCGTTTGCACCAAAATGTCTTGCTTTTATGGTGAACTGAGGTGTTTTCCCCCCTAGGGAGACCTTACAAAGTCCCCCAGGGAGGACTGGTGAGGCAGTGAGGGTCTGTGCCCTCGGGTTTCTGCACTTTGCCTGTCTTCAAACCCCCGGGTTGGGCACTCCGGCTAAAAGATGGGGTGGAGGTGGGGAGAAGGCAGATGCTTGTCTTGGTTATGGCTCTTCTAGCTTGGCCAAAATAGGAGGCGTTTGGGTCCCTCCTGCCTTTGCAGAGGGATGGTGGTGGAGCAGCAGCGGTGTGCTGGTCCGCCAGATGCTTCACGAGAAGGTGGTACGTGACCCGTCTGGGGCTGGCAGAAGAGCTTGCAGAGCACCGACCCCGCTTCTGGGCACCGCAGCCCTGCATGCCGGAGTCCTGGCAGCCCACCGCGGCACGGTGCTGCGGGGCTGCAGCCAGGGCTGCGCCAACCAGCTCCAACCGCCGGAGAGGTGAGGGGTTTCACCAGCGTTTGCTGCCAGCCTGTCCCCCGCCAGCCTCGCGTGGCATTAGTCAGCCCCGCGCCTGCAGAGCGGCCCCGTGCCCAGGACGCTCCCTCCCGATGTCTCATCTAAATGGTCTCTCCGGCGAATATTTTTCTTCCCGTCCAGCTGTCGGTAAATCTGGGGACAAATCCATCTGCTCTTACAACTTTCCTCCTGCTGCCTGCAGTCCCTTTCCTCAGAGGTTGTGATTTCCAACGCTCTTATTGCGCTGATGCGCCTATTTATTTGTTGTTGTGGTCCCCAAAATAGGACACGTTGCTCCAGCTGCATCCTACCAGCAAGGCTGACGCGTGATGCCCCTTGTAATGTGCCCCAGAGCGATGCAAGCATCAGCTTTTTGCACTGATGGTCCATACCCTCTGTTCCTTTTTTGCACTCCTGCAAAGCCCAGCAACTCCCTGGTCTTAATGATGTCCTTAATTTTTTCCTCTCTTCTCTTTATTTGCACCTCGATTTCATCTTACGCCTCTTAAATGGTTTTCCTGCGATTGCTGCCTCCTGGCCCTGCTCAGCCCTTAAAGTTTAGCGGGTGCAGAAGCGGGCGTGCCTAGGGCTGAAATTGGGAAGGGGGATGAAAAGGAGAGGGGCTAAATCCAGGAGGACAAGTGATAACTGCGTCTCTGTGCTGATAACTGTGCCGAGGCTGAAGCTATCTGCTGGCTCCCCGAGCACCAGGGAGAACCATCGGGACAGCAGGCGAGATCCTTCCCATCTCCCAGAGCTGGATTTGCAAGAAGGGCTTTTCGTAAGCCCTTTTAAACAGGAGACGCCAGGTTTTATCGTGGGGTTTACCTGCCCTGAAGCCCGTTTCCCCATCCTGTGTGACCCCGCTGCTCGGCCCAGTGGCAGGCCTTGAAACCATTTTCGCCGTGGTACCCATTGTGGGGCACTGGTACGGGGCTGGGGGGCTGTACGCGGCCGACGGGAGCCCGGGACATCTGCCTGGTGCTCCATCTATTGCT